TATTTATAATTTTCTTTTCTTTTTTAGTATATGTACTGCTGAAGCAAGCACTGATATTTATAATTTTCTTTCTCATACTACCTTTGGGTTTATATTGTTCTTTTTCTAAAACCTTGACATTATTCAATGTTAGATTATTTATTTGAGCTCTCTCTGTTTTTCAATGTGGGAATTCACCATTGTAAACTTCCCTCATAGGACTGGTTTCATTGCATCGCATGGATTACTGTACTCCATTGGCATTATCATTTAGTTGTAAAAACTGTCTCATTTCTTCTTTAATATTAACTATGACTATCAGTTATTCAAGAGGGTATTATTTTAATTTCCATGTGTTTACATAGTTTTTTGTGATTTCTTTTGCCACTAATTTCTGATTCCATTGCACTGTGATCTGATAATAATGCATGGGATAATTTCAATTCCTTCTCATTTACTAAAGCATGCTCTGTGAGTTAGTATGTGGGCTGTTTTAGAGAAAGTCCCATGTGCTGCTGAGGAGAATGTGCATTCTCTTGTTGGGTAGAACACTGCCAATCTGTTTCTTTTAACTGGTGAAGTGAGACAATTCACTTTGATGGTTATAACTGATAAATATTGGCTGATCTTTGTCATTATATTATTTTCCTATTGTTGGTTCCCTTTCTTTCCCTTCTATTTAAGTGCTTTACTTGCCTGGTGGATTCATTTTAATGGGATTTTTGGAATTATTATCTTTTTTGTCTTTTTCTAAGATATCCTAGAACTTTTTGGAATGCTAGTTTGGTGGTTATGAATTTCTTAAGTTGCTCTTTATCATGAAATATCTTATTTCTCTATTAATTTGAAAGATTGTTATGCATAGTACCTCAGTCTGGGTTGGAGGTTATTTTCTTTTAAGGATTGAAATACTTCATTCATAGCTCTTCTTAATATTAGGGTTTGCATTGAGAAGTCTGCTGTAATTTTGATGGGTTTTTATGTATTGGTGATTTACACTGGTACCTTGGTTCAAGAACTCAGTTCTCTCTTATGATTCTGATCAAAAATTAAATTGGATAAGAACCAAATCAAATTTCTTCATAAGATCAGCATTGAACCTAACCACTGAATTTGGTTGGTTGGTTGATTTTTTAATGCAAAGTGACATTGCTTTGTAGTCTAGGCTGTCCTTGAGCTCACTATTTAGCACATACTGGCCTCGAATTCATAGCATCCTCCTGCCTCAACCTCCTGAGTGCTGTGATTTACAGGCATGCACCACCACACCCGTCCTAACCATTTAATTTGATCCAGTTCTCATCCCACTAGGTTTGCAATGAGAATTGTGGGAAGAATCAAGTTTGTGAACTGAAGTAGCACTGTAGTTCTTTTCTCTAACAGCTTTTAAAATTGTATTCTTATATTGAATCTCCAGACTCTTGACTATTATGTGCTATGATGGATTAATTAATGGTCAGCTTGGAACACCTAGCTGACCTGAATCACCATATTTTTGGGCATGGAAGATCCACTTGAGGATTGTTGCCAGTGACATTAAAAAGAGAACTGGAAGCTGGGTGTGGTGATACATGCCTGTAATTCCACACTCAGGAGGCTGAGGCAGGAGGATTGCTGTGAGTTTGAGACCAGCCTGGGCTTCATAGTGAGTTCGAGGTCAGTCTCAACTACATAGTGAGACCATGTCTCAAAACAACCAAAAAAAAAAAAAAAAAACAAAACAAACAAACAAAAACAGAGAGAGAAAGAGAGAGAACTGGAAGGGAAGGTCATTTGCTGTTGATTTTCTTGGAGAAGCTTCTCAGCCCATCTTCCTAATGCAAACTTGGCTGTTCTTGTTGTCAAATGACCTCTAGTCCTCATTGTCTCTGGGAGTGGCTGCTGTTCTTGTAAAGGGAGCTCTAGTCTTCGCCTTGAGCATTGCTTCTTGGCTCCAGTGAAGATCTTCAGCCTGGTGACACAAATGCTTCACCCCACCAGTGCAGGCTTTCTCCACCACTGGCCTTTCAGCCTTCCCAATGCAGATCCTGTATAAGGATTTGCATGAGACATTGCTGTGGGCTCCAGGCCTCTGTCTGGACTTGTAAAGGATATTGCCCTGGGCTCTAGGCCTTTAGCTGAATTTGTGTGGGACATGAGCATGGGATCCAGGCCCTCAGCTGGATTTTTTGGGTCTCTAGTGTGTGGACAGATCTCTTGCACTCCTCTGCATTTGACTTTTTGGGTAAATATTACAGAATAATCCTGTAAATTATGTATCCTGTATTAGATCGGTTCCCTTGCAGACCCTAACTACAGTATATGGCTTGGTATAGTTTTGGTTTGGGGGGAGTTTTTTGTTTGTTTGTTTTTTCTGATCATGGCTATTTAGAGTTCTATATGCCTCAGTTATCTATATATCAAATTCTTTTTGCATGCTTGAAAAGTTTTCTGCTATTACTTCTATAAACAGATTTTTTATGCTCTTTGCACTATGTTGTTCTTTTTCTTTGATTCCAACTAATCTTAGATTAGTCCTTGCAGCTGTTGGATTAATTTTTCATGTTCCCTGACTATTTTTTAGGAATCTCTTACTTGTTGATTACTAACCACAACCCTGTCTTCTAGGTCTGATATTCATTCTTCACATTGGTTGACTCTGCTGCATATACTTTCAATAGCATTTTTAATTTCCTGTATTTCTTTTTGAGACTTTTATGGAATCCATTTCTTTTCTATGTTGGGCATTCATGGTTTCCATGTCTTTCCTTAGCTCTTTTTTTTTTTTTAATCTGTTTCTCTTTCTAGATTCACTAGTCATTTCTTTCATTAGAGTTATCATCTCTTCAATTATCTGTATTATGTCTGCTTTGAATTCTTCAGAGGTCTTATTTATCTGCTTTGTTACTTCCACTGCTGTCATTTCAGAAATTTTAGGGGCATGACATTTGATTTCTTCTCCTTCAATGCCTCGCTGCTTGGATCCCTCCAGTTATGTGACATGTTCTCAGAATGGCTGTTCCTGGAGTGGGCAAAGATGGGGGCACAGTGGCTGACTCTTAGGGACCACCTCCCCTCTTTTTAACTCCTACGTATCTTGTTTGATCTACAAATATCTTCTTTCAAATTGATTCTTTGTATCACAGTGTATGTGCGTTCCATAGTTGTTACCTGTGTTTCTAATTAATGTTCTCTGAGTCTTTCTAACAAAACTCCTCTAGTCAACCAGCTTTGAGAATTTGATAACAATATCCTTGGGTATAAATTTTCTTGTAGTTATGCTTGGGACTTTTCAAGATCTTTTTTTAATCTATTAGTGTTTTTCATTAAAATTTAGAACATTTTTAGCTGTTTTCCTTCAATAATTTTTCTATCATACTTCCCTCTCCTCTGAGACTCCAGTGGAATATTAGGCCACGGGTCACCAAAACTCTTGTTTATCATGGTTTTTTGTTTATTTGTTTGCTTTTATCTTTTAGAGACATTCTAGATGTATAGGAAATTGAGCAGATAGTACCATCACAGTTGACCATATTATTAATATCTTTTTCATTATTGTGGTAAATAGTGTATAGAAAGGCATATATGTATGAATTTCTTTTTCTTCATATATTCTTTATGCTTTACTCCTTGACAGCTGTGTTTCTATGTTAGAGTTAGAAAGAGATTAAGTCAGTAATTAGGTGTGGTCACCTTCTGAATGGCCCTTTATATAATACAGATGTTGCTAATGATGTGTCCCTTAGTAGAGATGTTATATAAGAATAAATAATGTCATTTATTCCATTCATGCTAATATAGCACATATTTTGAAGGGGTACATTTTATTTGCTCCTTAAAAATATAACCTTGGGAAGGGTAGGGGAAAGGTAATAAAGGAAAAGAAAAAAAAATGGAAATAAAGTGTTTGTAAAGGGGGAGGGGAGGTAAAGAAAGGGCAGGGACAAGGGGAAAAATGAGAACCCAGACCTGTCGTGTAAAGGTACAAGATCCCAATAATGAATGTAACTGTACTGTATATCTAAAATGTACCAATAAACTCAATGAGGAAAAAAGATATATATAATGCTTATTTTTTGCTTAAAGTACTTAAAGAATGTATATGTTTCTTACAACAGATTTATATTTGTTTCAGGCCAGGAATTTAGCTCAGTGGTGCCGCCACCTACCTCACAAGTGCAAGTCCTGAGTTCAGTCCCCAGTACCAAAAAAAAAAAAGGATGGATTTATATTTGTTTCAATTCTCAGAAAACGTTTTGTTTATAAGCAACTAAAGTTAAGAAGTCTAATTGAAATATACAGTAAATGTCTAAATTTAAAATCTAAATCTATGGTGAATGTTTAAATATTATTACAGTAAAAGACATATTTCCATTACATCCTGTCACAATACTCCCACTCACTTCAAATGCATTTATCCTATTGTTCTTGCCACTTAAGTCCTCCTTTGTGAGCATTTCTAGGAGTTGTTACTTTTTTTAAATGCTTTGAATGCTGCTGAGTATCATCCAGTGTGAAGGCAGAGTTGTAAAACACTTTATGGTCTCTGTCCTCATCGACCTCCTTCACTGAATCTGGTATCATGCAACTTCTGGCTCTTCTCTAAACAAAATGACCATGAAAGGTAAACATCTCCAATCTGTTTAGGACATTTAAGGCAGCCACAACAGCAAAGCTAAAGACACAAAAGAGGGCCTCCAGAACTACTTGGGAAATGACAAGAACTATGGGATAAGTGTGTTTGAAGCAAGGGGGTGTTTTGGGCGAACTTAATAGCAGTGTGTTTTTATTACAATAATTTCTTTTCCAGTACCAGGGATTGAACTCAGGACCTTGTGTTTGCAAGGCAGGTGTAGTGCCACTGAGCTAAATCCCCAGCCCTTAATTTTTAAAATTTAAACATTCACCATCCTTTTCAGTCACATCTCATGTGTACATTCTTATAATACATTTATATTGCATTTTGAATTCACAGAAATTTTATTTTTCTTGATTCATTGGCATCACTTGCCAAATTCAGGTTTTGTTTTTAACTTTTCCAGGCCCAGCTTCAAAGAGAAAAAGAACAAGATCAGATGAAGCTGCATGCAAAACTTGAAAAGCTTGATGTCTTAGAAAAAGAGTGTTTTAGACTGACAACCACTCAGAAGACTGCTGAGGTAAGCTTCTACTTGTTTCTTTGAAGTGATGATGCCAGAAATAAATCTTTACTGATAAGCAAAATTGGTATTGTTTACTGTATATTCATACAGCAAATCTTAGATTTAGAAAATTTCATTTATAACTTTTAGTAATCCAGCTAGTCCTGTCTTTTGAGATAAAAGTAAAAATGTTCTGTCATGGCATGAATGAGTTTGCCTTTTGATGTGAAATTGTGATTTTGGCTTCTTCTAAGACAGCAAGATATTTTCATTTGTCAGATATTTTGCCTAGAGGATATTGAAAAGATTATCTTTTACTACCTGTGGTGAAGTTAAGCCTATCCTAGATTCCTCTCCTCCCCAAATATTTTCCATTGCATAGGATTTTCTCTCTTTGAAACCTTCCTTCGGTTACCCAACACTTGAGAAGTTCTCCCTTTGAAATAGTACTGTCATCCTATTCTGACTGTCATCACAAGTATAAGATGTAATACTTTCATGTGTAAGGTTGAATAGTGTATACATGGTCCATGTTAAGGCATAGTCATTGCTTTGTTTCATGTATGTTACTAAATTCTCTAACTACAATACTATGTAAGCTCTCACATGAGAAGGATCATGTATGTCTTCCTTCTCCCAACTAGACTCTTACCATAAGCACATAGTAGGCATTCATTGTTAATTTTCTGTTGCTGGAACATTGAAACCCAAGGCTGTAATTGTTTGACCTTCTGGACCTTTAATACCTTCAAAAATGTTATAATGGTTCTGTTGGTAGCAGTTTATAAAGTCTGGGCCAGGGATGTAGCTCAGTGGGTAGCTCAGTGGCACAACACCTGTCTGGCAAGCACAAGGCTGGTACCAAAAAAGGAAAAAATAAATAAAAGTATATGTGTGTGTACATTCTTTGCTTTTATTTTGTTCTCTTCATATATAATAGCGGGTAAGGAAGCATGGTAAGAAAACCAAGAAATATCTTAACATTTTTTCCCATTCCTTTTCCTACTTTCTGTTTTAATTTGCTAACTCTTAAAAATCAAGACCCTTAGAACTTTTGGAAAATTAAAAGGTATTTGTCTGTTTTTTTGGTTTCTGTGTGTGTGTGTGTGTGTATGTGTGTGTGTGTGTGTGTTTGCTTTTTTTTTTTTTTTTGTACTGGGATTGAACTCAGGACCCCATGCTTTCAAAGCAGGCCCAGTGCCACTGAACTATATCCCCAAGCCCTGTCTCTGGTTTTTTTATATAACAATCCTAGTTTTTTATTCTCTTGCAGGACAAGATTAAACATCTGGAGGAAAAACTTCAGGAAGAAGAACATCAGCGTAAGTTATTTCAAGACAAAGCTGCTGAGGTAAATAATATGTTTTTATGATTCTGTATTTTTATTAATGGAAACCTATATCCTAGACTCTAATTTCTGTTTTCTGGATTATTAATTCGCCACTTCTTGCTGTAGTAATGAAATTTTCAGTTAGCCAGTATATTCATACACTTGGATGCATTCCCAAGAGGTCTCTGTCTTTTGAAATCCTAGCAGATACAAATACTTTCAGTTGAAGTAACTCCTACAATACATTATTTTCAGTTTGTATATATGTGTGTATATACAATACATGTATATATAAATAATTGATTCTCTTATAAACAGAAAATAATTGTAATTAACATTAGACTTACTGACTTTGATACACACAGAAAATAGTATTTTGAGTTTTCTTTTCTTCCTCAAAAGATTTTTGTTTTGTTTTTTGAGATGATGAGGTCTCTTACTCTGTTGCCTGCTTTGGCCCTGAACTGGCCTCAAGCAGTCCTCTTACCTCAGTTCCTGTGTAGCCATACAATGTACCTGTCTCTCAAAAAACCTTTTTTTGCTTAAAAACTGAGACTGATTTTTATTATACTTGAAGAAGTTTGTTGCAAATCAATTTTATGAATTGTTTCTTCAATACAGCTTCAGACTGGACTTGAAATCAGTAAAATTTTAATGTCTTCAGTTTCAAATTCAAAACACTCCAAGGAAAAGAAAAAATCTTCAAAGGTATGCATATAAAACTTTTTCACAAACAACTTTCTTATTGCCTAACACTCATTTTTCACCTTTTAAACCTTTATATCTACCTCTTTTCAGAAAGTATTTCAAGAATTTATAATAAAAGATGTGCAATAATGCCATGAAATTATTCAAATGATGATGGTTTTAGGTATAAGAACAGAAAATTATATAAAGGCTGGGTTAAAAAAAAAGTAACATCAGTCATGTAAGAAACTCAGCTCTATATTTACTTGACAGTCAAGGCAAAACAAGCACATACTGGGTGCTATAGGTGTCTTTGTGAAGTAATAGGAACCACTTCAGTTTTTATAGAAAAGCAAACATTTCTATTGTCTTTAACTCTATTTGGTGGTACTTTTTTTGAAGTGGCAGTGAACACAATGAATGCTAACAAATCTTGAATGCAGTTTTGTATATGTACATAGAAATGATTTTTACAGATAGTTTATATGGGCTGGGATTTAGCTCAGTGGTTCTGCTGCCTGCCTTACAAGCGCAAGGTCCCAAGTTCAATCCCCGGTAGCCCCCAAAAAAAGATAATTTGTAGGTGTGTAAAGTCATTTATATAGGGAATTTATTGTTATTTATCCTTTCTATGTTCATATCCTTTGAATTTGCCTAATAATAAAGATGGAGGAGGGCTGGGGATTTAGCTTAGTGGTTCCGGCACCTACCTCCTAAGTGCAAAGACCCGCGTTTGATCCCCAGTACCAAAAAATAAATAAAATAAAATAAAGATGGGGGATCAGTATCTTGTTTATTGTATCAATTGACATTTTAGATAGTTGCATTACATAAACTTTAGTAATATATAATGGCAAGAAAAATATACTCTTAATTTTGTGATTTTTTTCAAATTGTATTTTTTGCTAACTGTTCAGTTTTGAGAGTTCATATTGTAAATATATTTTTAAATGTGTTTACTTTTCCCCCTGTCAATATTTAGAAAAGTAAATGTTTAAAAAAAGGACCACCTCTACAAATTTATTCAAAGTTTAGAGCACCACTTTTTGAGGCTAAAAAGGTGAGAGGATAAAAAATGAAGATAGTTCAAGAAGTCTTCTACTTATTTGTAAGTGCTGTTTAAATACCATCATTCACGTTGTCCTCAGCTGATTTTTCTCCCTTAAGTCTGCCAGTGCAGGCTGTTCTGTGAATGCAGGTAGGCAAAGCCTTCAGCACAAGACGTATCATTGCAGCCCACATGGCTTTCCGAAAGGCACCCAAGTGATTGAGCCTCGATGTCTCTGTAAGCCTCCTAGAACGATTTCCCAGTATAAAGCTGTACCTCGTGAATCAGAAAAGTCTATTTCCATTTGTGACAATTTGTCTGAACTTTTGATGGCAATGCAAGATGAGCTAGACCAAATGAGCATGTAAGTATTTTTATTCTGAATCAATAGAAGTAACAAGATTTTTAGATAATATTTTTTTCTTTCAGTCCCCAGAAAAATGCCATTTATAAATTCTTAAAGTCCTTGCTTAGCTATTTGAATTTTCTGCCTCTGAGCTACTTCCCCATTTCTTTTTTATTTGGAGACAGGGTCTCACTAAATTCCCCTGGCTGGCCTCAGTCTAGATCTGCATGCCTCAGCCTCCCAAATAGCTAGGATTATAGTCATGTACCACCGTACCTAGCAGGACCTAACTTTATTTTGATCTGCAGATTTATTGTCACTATTTTTCATTTTTTCCTTGTACTATACTTATGTGTTTAACTGTGTAATTACTACTTCTCTGATCTAAGGAGTTTCTGTATTCCCAGGATCTGGACTGATAGGCATGTTACTGTCAATCTAATAAATAAGGTCTGTTAACCTTACATTATAATTTACAAGAGCTTTTGTGAGAAAGATTGTTTTTGTTTTTAAGAGTCTTTTAATTAAGTGAATGATTTCATTAGACAAGTAGGAATATAATTCCTTTTATACTCTAACTGGTCTGCATTATAAATTTTGAAGCATCCACAGAAGATTCTGTACGAGGCACATATATATTATGCCCCATGTTTAAATATATGTTCAACAGGAATTCCAGAACTACATGATTTGACTGGCCAGCTACTTGAAGAGAGACCTCTATGAGACATACAAACTAGCTCTATTCACAGTATTTCAAATTCCAGAGTTTGAATTGAAGAGAATCTTGTAATTCCTTTAGCCAGAGGCATTAGAAAATTTTAGTACATTTAGCTGTGAATATCAGGAATTCATATTTTTAAAGGATGTTTAGCAGCCTAACATATTTCTAAATGTATCTAATCTCAAGTCATATGAACTATAGTAGGCCTTGGTATATGGTTTTTGTTTTTGTTTTTGTTTTTTGATAGGGAGCATGAAGAACTACTGAAACAAATGAAGGAAACTGAAAGCCATTCCATATGTGACAACATAGAATATGAACTAGAGCGTTTAGTCAAGAAAATGGAAATTAAAGAAAAACAAATTTCCAAACTGAAGACGCATCAGGACAATGTAAGGTTTAGTAAAAAGTTTTAATAAGCAGATAATATATCTGGATTCAGTATTATTTCTCCATATGACTTTCCTAATTTGAAGTCTGTTTGTGTGGGTTACTAAAAATCTAGGAGTCATGTAAATCTCTTATATAGACCCATTAAAGTGACCTGGGCCTCCTAAATGACCTGGGCCACTAAAATGACCTGACTCTCCAAGATAATGTAAAGAGACAGGAGCAAGAAGATTGAATTATGTATTTAGGCTTTGGAAAAATTGTGAGAAATGCCTCCAAGTTAACCTTTCAGCCCTTCTTTTCCCTTATCATCTCCCCTCTAATGTCATAATGATGCCCCTATGACCCCAAGTCTCTAAGGCAGGTTTATACATGGCTATTTAAGCAGTACCCCAATTCTAAAACTACTATTTCTTCTTTCCCAAAACAAGCTGGGCCATTTCCTGGGGACCTATGCTCAGCTACAGTAGCTGTAGTTAGGATATAGATATTGAGAACTGTATACTTATATGTGAAGTCTTAACTAAAAATGGTGTAACTGTTTTAACATTTTGACTAAAGAATCACAAATATATTATTTCTTAAGACAGTGATTCCATAGTTTACCTTTCAGCATTATTGCAGTGCTGGGGCAGAAGGCAAGGGAACTTTTCCTTAAACCTTGAATAGTCATCATTCATATAAGCTGGTAATGCATTAATCTCACAAATAAACCTCCCCCCACTTTTATAGGAAAGTAATAAAGATGCAGAATGTTATTGCCTTTATTCTGCTTATGACCAAGAAAGAAAGAAATGAAACTTTTGGAGCATATATTTTCACTTTATTGGCTTTTTAGGCTATAGTAAGTAAAAAATTTTATATGCTTGTTTGGGTGAAGATTATAAAACTTGATACAATTTGTACACTTTATTATAATTGAATAAGAGAAATTTGAATAGGACAATCGTGTTTTTAGAATTTAAGCATCCTTTACATTTTATATTTTTAAAATTATGTTATATTCCATAGTAGGTATAACAGTGTAAATTTTAAGCATTTTATCATGGCAAATTTAATCTGTAATAAAAATTGCCTTCTAAGCAAAGAGACAACCAGTTACTCAATCAATATCTGCATCAGCTCTACAAGTTAGACCTATGCATAAGTGAAATAATCAGTAATGGGTCAGACTTTAAAGAAATGTATTTGGGTTTGTTGATAGGATTATTTGGTGGGGGTTATAGATTTTTTTTTTTAATTTGCGGTACTGGGATTTGAACTCAGGACCTTGAGCTTGCAAGGCAGGTATGCTGCCACTGAGCTAAATCCCTAACCAGAATTGTTTTGTTTAATTCTCTCTATTCTATTATTAGCAGACACTCCTCAAGAAAGTAAAATTATTCTTTTGACTTTTTTTCCTGAGTTCACTGGGACTTTAAATCAGACATGCTTCTAAGATTATATATGTACTCAGTACTTATTCCTAGCACTAGTTCTTTGTTTTACTGGGTTGCCTGAAAAGTCTTCTCTTTTCTCTTTTCTCTTTTTATCAGTCTCATATCCTCATACGGTCTTTCCCTATACTTCTGCAGCCTACACTGATCTTGTTCTACTTTAGCCTTCTCAAATATACACTTTTTCCTACTTGACTCAACTTGAAATATTCCATAGTTATCATGTATATGACATTTTTTCACTAATCAGAGCACTAAGCTCCTAGACAGCAAGGACTATCTTATTCATATTTCTACATGACTAGCGCAGTGTTTGGTGTATAATAAATGTTCTATAAAAACTTACTGAGCTAAACTTTTTTTTTTTTTTTTTGGTACTGGGTATTGAACTCAGGTCCTTGCGCTTGCAGGGCAGGCCACCGAACCGCTGAGCTAAATCCCCGGCCCCTAAACTTTTTAATTTAATGTAATCTTTAGGCCATCAATTCAGTTCATCTATTTTATATTTATAGTATCTCTTTTACTAAAATGTTAGATTTTTTTTCCTCTCTCTGTCTCTCTCTCTCTCTCTCTCTCTTTCAGGTCCATAAACTGCAGCAAAAAGTTCAAAACTCAAAGACAAGTAAAGCTTCGGGTATTCAGCAAGACAGTAACCAAAGTTTGAAGAGCATGAAAAACAGCCCCAGAAAATGTTTGAATAAAGCTAACTCTTCTCAGAAAAGTAGCAACTTTCATCCAATACAAGTTCATAATATTCAAGTGAAATTGAGAAGAGATGATATCACGTGGGAACAGTAATACAGTAGCAAAACTGTCAGCTTGAATGAACTTTGTCAGCAAGAACTTGAATTGTTAAAATGGTTTTAATCTAATATATGTTTGTGAAATTTTAAATTATGTTTTTGGCCTCTATAAACATGAAGTTGTATGTTTTAAAATTAATGCTTAGTGACCAACTAAGACTCCCTAATAACATAACACCTTTTTTTTTCTTTTTCTTACTGACCAAAGTCCTTAAATTCATTATCTTTTTGAAACATTTTTCACCCTATAGATATCTTAAGCCAAATCTAGGAAATTATACTGCATTGCCCAGTATTCAAAATTGAGTTAAATCTGAGATATCAATACCATTCCACTTTTTCCTGTAGTAGACTTGAAACCAAAAGAACCAACATTAAATGAACAGAGTACAGAAAGATCTTTAACTTTCCTAGTGCTACCTCCCTGTCTTATTTCTACAGTTTTGTGGAAAAGTCTTTAATGTTGGTTTTATGTGACAATTACAAGTAGGAATCCATAGTTACCTAATATGTATGAGATAGTAATTCACTGACAGAATATCATTCCTTTTCAAAGTCTAGTTTTTTTAATACCAGTGGTCTATCTTCTTTATAACCTTTGCTGATTTTTATTCTTTGCATTACATATAATATCTTTCAATATAAATTGAGAAGATGAGTTCCTACTACCCAAAAAATGGTATATTTTTATTAGAAAGAGAGGTATTTAATTAGCTTATCCAGCAAAAAATCAGGGTGATGTGGCATATCTTTATTTTTATATTTTTAAATTAGTGATGTAATAATTTCTTTATGTATGCATACTCTTTCATAAATTTACACTTGGCTTTTTAGAAGCCTGTGATAACTAGTACAGCTCTTTCGAACTCTTGGATTCTCAAATCTTCTGATGCAACTAGGAACTGAAGTCATCAACTAAAGTAGAAATAGAGGATAGATAGAAAAGCTGTAAGAAAAGCTTGGAGTATAGGGTAGCAGTTTAAGAATTTACCAAATTCTCTGAATTCACACCAGTAGGAGTGTTCCAGCTTTGGGTATAAAAGAATTTTTAGGTCAGGGACCTGGGGAGCTAAGAAAAATAATTTTTAAAAGACGGCCTCTGTTTCTGATTTCCTAGCAAATTCTCAAAAAGTACATAATTATGAACCTTCTAGGGGGGTGTAGAACTGTGATTCATGCTAATGGTGAGAAGAAATGCCATAGTAGAGGCGTTTCCATGCCTGAAAATGAGCTGACTAAAAATGGGCAGACTGATACTTGGAACTGAACATGAAAGTAATTAACGGCACAGATCAAAGTTTCTTTCCTGGTTTGCATAATACATGCGCTGTGTCCTTAACTTGCTTTTACTTTGCCTTCCCTATCAGCTTCCCCTGGATGTTCCATCTAAACTCAGTTATAGCACCATACCCATTTTCCTACTTTACCTTTCCTTCTCAAAGATATAAGTTCTGTAATTTAAGCTCAGCAAAAACCAAAAGAGGAAAAGAAAAAAAGAAACTAAAAAGAATAATGCGACCCTTTACTTCTGTGCATTTAGGAAGTTGGAGGGGGGCTTGGTTTGGGATTTTTTTTGTTTTTTGTTTTTTGTTTTATTGGTACTGGGGATCGAACTCAGGACCTTGCACTTGCGAGGCAGGCGGCAGAAACCACTGAGATAAATCCCCGGCCCTGTTTTTTTTTCAGACAGGGACATGCTTTGTAGTTCAAGCTGGCCTCGAACTCACAGCGATCCTCCTTCTTTGGCTTCCCAAGTGCAAGTGCTGGAATTACAGATGTGTGCCACCACACCTGGCAAATATATTTTTATTGGAGAAGTTATGAAAATGTATTGCTAAAACAAATTACCTTTTTTTTTTTTTTTTTTTCGGTACGGGGGTTCAAACTCCGGACCTTTCACTTGTGAGGCAGGCATTGGAACCACTGAGCTAAATCCCAGTCCCCGAACTCATTTTAGAAACACTTAAATATTTCAATTAAGAATTTGGTATTTTCTCAAAAAATTTTTTTTCAAAAGAATTGTATGGTAGAAAAGAACACAAGACTTTCGAGTTAGACTTGAATTTAAATTCTGACTTCATTGTTTGTTAGTTTACATAATCAGTTCACTTTGGAGCTTCAGTTTCTCATCTGTAAAGTGGGGGTTATAGTAATCCTACTCCCAGGGTTGCTGTGGGGACTAAATGATAACTAACATGCAAAAGCGTCCAACAGAAAGAAGGCTTAACATTTAATTAAGACTCAGTAAGTGTTTTTAAATCGGAGTGGCCAAAATAACAATCATTATTGTACAGCACAAAAATGGAAATGTTCTGATTCCACCCCCACCCCGCTCCGCAGAGTTCCTGAAGGAAAACGTGGACTACAGGGTTGGGGTAAAGAGTATAAATCTGCCACACTGCAGAAATACATAACCACACAGAACAACTTAGTGTGGAGTTGGTTTTAGTTGTTGAGGTGACATTTATTCCTGGGAGACAGTAAACAATGGGTTTCGTTGCTCCATCACAGCTACTGAACTAAAAACGTGTCTTTGTGCACAGCCTGCGTGCCAGGACCACTGACGCTTCGGTGGGTGGAGCAAAAGCTTGCTTTCCTGATGGGGCCTTCTGCGGGCAGTGTACAAGAGTTGCTATAGCAACCCCACTGCTGTGCTCTGCCCAACAGAAAGGTATGGTTTCATTGATTTCCTTCACTTACCTGAAAAGCAGAGTTACTTGGTTTTTGTTTAAAGAGAAATTTAAAAGACAAAATTGGAACTTTCTAACCAAAGCAGGTCTCAACTTTTCTTTTCTTTTTTTTTTTTTTTTTTTTTTTTTTTTTTTTTTTTTTTTTTTTTTTTTTTTGTGAAGTCAGACAGTTCTAGTGTTTGAAGCAGAAATACTGTGAATATTCTAATACTGGAATGAGAGCTGAAAGCTTGAATTAACTGATTTGGGTGAGTCATTGGCAACCAGCAATTTTTGTGGTGGTGTAGCTTAAAGGTTTGGAGTGTTGGAGAGACATGCTCAGTTTTCTCTATGTAAGATTAAAGTGGGAGGTATTTGATACATTAAATAGTACGATTAAAGTGGGAGGTACATTAACTGGCTGGGTGGTATACTTGAAAATTTATTTTTTTGAGATTTTGTAGCTTTCTTTAAAAGTATAATTTTAACTGTAAAGTAATTATTCTTAATCCATGATTAAAATATCAAAAAATTAAAACAATGTTGACTTGTAAATGATGCAAGAAATAAGTCTAAGGAGGAAAAGGCCAATTTGCTATGCACAATGGAAGGTGAGTGTCCTGACCAAAATCATGGCCAGAAGTGCACCAGCTGCCATTATTGATGTAGAGCAAATATGAAACTCCTGAGGGGGTTCCTGGAACTCTAGCTAAAGAGTAACTACAGCTGTACTACTGAGGCCATTAATTGTATGTGAAGTTTACATAAGTGCTACCTGACTCCCAGACACAAGACAAACCTCTCTAAGGCATAATAGCATTTGTGAGGTTAAAAAAAAATAATAAAAAATTTTATAGGTGTCCTTCTACCTTTTAATTCAAGTGAGACCAGGATAAATAAATATTAATGACTGTCATTCATCTGCAGATAAATTTACTTCTTACCAAATAGACCTTGTCAGTGCCTCAACCTTTTTTCTTCATATCTTATGTACTTATTTCAATGGAACTTGTATTTTTAGTTCTTTGTATTTTATCATTTAAGGAGAATTAGAATAATTATAAAGTTAAAACTTTAAAATAATGTCTGGGCCAGAGTTTGTTTTCATTATTCTCTGTGGCTTGTATACTTACAGAATTAAGTGGATTTTTTTTAAAATAATAGGTTTACCAAGAGTATTCTCCTTCTTGGTATAAAGTCATATGCATTTAGTGCAAGACCCTACTAAATGCCACAGATAATCATTACAATTATAAATTAGCACCATGCCACTAAAATAGTTTAGTTTTTTTATAAATGCAGGGTTCATTGTGTAACTATATGTTAACAATTTTAGCAGAAAATAATGGGAAAAGGAAATTGATCTCCTGTAACTTTATATTGTGAAGCAACTTTTGACATATAAAACTTGCTAATGACCAGTCCAGCAGTCTAGTACATAACTTGGTGGGGGAGGGTAAATTCCAGGGGATTTAGGGACACTATGAGTTGCCCATCAAAGACAGACAAAGTTGTGATATAATCAGTGCTCAATAAAATCTTTTAAAATAAAAGTAGAGTTATTGACCATACCATCTAGATTTTTCCTGTTTTGACTTTACTTAGCTACCTTTTCCTCATTTTTCATCTTTTAATCACCTTCAAGCCCTCTTTTATCTCCTCTCACCACACTGCCTCCTCCAAAATCTGGCCTCTGTTGTCTCTTCTAGTTCTTTTCGTCCTTTTTTCTTGGCACACTTCCTCCTTATTCTTTATCTTCACCATAGACTGAAGGCTATGTAAGGACAAAGTTCTTTCTTGCTCACCACCTTAGCCAAAGCACCTCGCATAGTACTTGGACCAAAAGTTGCCTCTCAATAAATATTTGTTTGAGGGCTGGGGATTTAGCTCAGTGGCAAAGTGCCTGCCTTGTAAGCACAAGGTCCTGAGTTCGATCCTTGGTACCACAAATAAATAAAATTAAAAATAAATATTTGTTTGATAATTATATTTCTCTAGTAACAGTTTATAGGAGGCTACTGCTTTGGACTCATCAGCTGCACTGTGTCATGACAGACTAAACTAAAATGGTTACTCAAAGTCACCAAACCAAAACTAAGTCGTTATCTGACCTTCCAAGATATTTGAGAGAGATACAGTAATAGACAGATTTTCCAAGCAGGCTAGTTTCAACCAACATGGTAATGAAGTTCCCTTTCCTTCAATACTTACCAAAAAGAAGTTACCTAAAGTAACTAATGTTAACCAGTTATTTTCCTGTTCTTCTTTTTTTCTGTCCCCCACCCCCTTTTATAGGGAAAGAAACTTGGAAATGACCAGCTTACTTTTTGTTCTTTGTTTCTGCTCTCTTTAGCTCCTTTCTGGCTATAATGCTAATTTCCTTGCTCAGCTCACTAGTATATTTATTCTATTTTGTGGTTTTAAAATACTGTCCAATTTAAAAATGCACAAAGCCAATTGAGATCTTTAAATTTATTGTAATTTTGTCTTTTGACACATTTCATGAATATATACTAACCTTACTGTGGTCTTATCAAAGCATTGGATTGGCTTTTGCTGTCTCAGGCACTTAGAGTTTTACTGTCCTGCTGTTTCATGTAACAAGCACACATGACCTGATTTTACATATCCACTGTTTAAGAGTAGTTCATTATTGTTTGAGGCAGGACAGAGTTGCTTTCATAGATAGAGTCACTCAGAATGAAGCTCACTTTGATAAGCTGATGCTTCTAGGAGGAGATTGAGAACCAAGGGTTTTTTAATTGGATAGTGGCATACAGATAGTCCTCGTTTAATGACATTTGGACTTACCACCGATGGATGCTGTTTGAAGTTAGGATGCTGGAATGCCAGCAACAGTACAGCCTGAAGGTGGTTTCTTCTGTATTCAAGTCTATGCATGAAAACTCCACAGATTTCTCAGTGAGTAAACCTTCTACAGTATGCCCACAGTGTGTTCTCAACATTGAATGCAGCTGTGTTAGAACTAGAGGATCCAAATATTGAGCAGTTCACAAAAGTGGAACAGCAAACGAGTGAATTTTTATGATACTATTGTAAAGTTTATGAAGCAAAAAAGAAAATTACAAAGCAGATGACAGTGACAAGATTCTTACTATACCCAGGACCCCTACTAGTAGTTTTTCCATTTCTACTTCATCAGTTCTCTTAGCCCTGGGACTTCTGCATCTCCTGATTGTAATTGTGATGATGACACTTGGAAAGATTCAATAACTGAAATGTTAGCAGCTTGAATGTCTTTTTTTTTTTTTTGGTACAATTCTGTGCATCTTGTTTATACACCCTTAATATCTTTTGTTTTGTTTTGTTTTGGGTTTTTTTTTGTTTGTTTGTTTTTTGTACTGGGGATCAAACTCAGGACCTTGCACTTGTGAGGCAGGTGCAGTGCCACTGACCTAAATCTCCAACCCCTCAATATGTTTTTTTCTGCAGTGCACCTTGTTCATGCAGTACTGTGATTTTTGCTGATTGAACTGTACAGTACAGTACTATAGTTTTATGTTCTGTTATACATTACAGAACTTCATGTAAGAGTTATGTAAATAAAAGCAGTATGATCAAGTTGGGGTTTCCTTTGACCATTTCTTTGTTCTGAATGTTGTAATGTACATACTGTATACAGTTCTCATTTAGAGACCAATTATTTTAACATCCTAGTCATAAGATTGGAACTCCTTCATTAAAGGAGGAATGGCTGTATTTGACTTGTTCATCTGATGAGTATTTATTGATCTCTAATAATCAAATACAGTCAAGTTGGCTCTTAATAAATATCCATTGAGAATGAATTTGAAAGATGTGGAATAAAGTTCAAACTAGAAATACTTTCAAATCCTCTACTATGGCTTGTGGCAATCTACTGGTTATCCCAGAAGTACTCTTATGAACTGTTTTGTATGTTTTATTGGTATATATCCCACTTCAATCAATACTATTATATTTCTTGGTCTATGGAATATGATTTTTAAGTATTAGGTCGCCTATATTAGAGAAATACTGCTTTTCTAATGTAGACAGATAAGAGTAAATATATTCAGCATGAATCACTTAACAGATGATCTCATCATTCCACTTCTTTGTAAAAACCTAAACAAGCACAAATCTCATATCTAGAAAAAAATTTGTTTTGCAGATGTTTTAGATAGTGTTACACATTATAAAAATGTGAGATTTGTGGTAGAATAACTATACCACAAATCTGAAACAGAAAAAAAATTATCATGTAACAAACTGTATTCATCTAAGTATCAACAGTCAGCAGCACCATAAAAATGTAAAACTTGATAATAATACCAGTGTAGCATTCTTTAAAAACATGTCTCTCTAATGATAACCAGCCTGATAGAATATTTTTACATGAGTGGATAGAGTAGATAAATATCTGAAAAACAGCTTTGTAAAGTAGATACTAACTGAAAGGAAACTTGCATTTCTGTGGCTTTTAAATCCTACTCAACAAATTTCTCTGTTATATCAGCAAAACCACTTTTTTCTGGGCTGTGGTCAGACATAGTAAAAAATGCTCAAAAGAAATGAGCAAAAGAATGATGTTCATTATAATGGGATCCTACCCCTTATAAATTTTTATTCACCATGACAAATTTAGACGAAAGTTGATTAAACAGTTAAAGAGATCTTAATCTTTATAAGAAGAGAATTATAAAGCAAGCCATACCTTCCAGTTAAAAATAATATCCTTTTGACCTGATTGTACTTAATCTAATTAAGTGAATTTTAGAAAAGACTGAAAAACCTTGGAAGTTTTCATCTTGTTTATTTTTTGTTAGCTCGCCTTAAAGTTACGCGTACATTGACTTGTAGAGTATTTCTTGGAAAAACATACTACTGAACCAGTACAGAGTGTGAATCATTTCTTGCCTGAAATACAAGATTGATGTTTACAGGGCAGTTGTCCAAAGCTGAATCAGAAAGCATTTCACTCTTCATCTGGTATGTGCTATTTAAAACAAACTATTTTAGTACACAGGAAACCCACTTAAAATTAAATTTTAAAACTCCTGAGGATCCAGTGGAACATTTACGATTTAATAACATAATTTCTAGCAAAAAGAAAAGTATCTTTAATACCTTAAAAATATTTTCAGAGAACACTAATCCAAAGTATGTAATATATGTGAAAGAATAACTATTAATATTTGTAAGTATTGAAATGCTTGAGCATATAAAAAGCATTATTGCCTTCATTTCCCAAAACTGAGCCAAACAAAATATTTAAGTCCAGTACCAG